TTTGCTTCGATGATTTACGGCCAGAACTTGAAGGCTGCTCACCACGTCGCCTGACTCTGAGTTCCGTTTGAAGCCATTGCTTCAGCGCGGCGGTAGTTGTGCCTGCCTGTTGTGTGGTCGACGGACCGGACCACCTACTCGCTGCAAATTAGTCAATTGCTACCTGCAGCTAATTAGCGGGAATATTCATTACCCCTGCAGAGCTTCAGACAACAAGAAAAACATAATACGACAGTACATACATTCTTTTGTGACCATTCCCAGCTTGGAGTGAGATATGCGCACCAATGGGACTAGCCCTGATTTTCGTGCAATTCTTTAAATGCCTGTCCTGGGTAACAAACATACACACACGCACACACACACGCGCGCACACCTAGTATTTGAACTCATTCACTCACATTCCCTGTACTTTGCTGCGATCGGCGATATCATCGACGTTTTATCTTTCCTCGGCTGCTGTACTTAAAACTTGTTGCACAGTGTTTTAAAATGTTGTAACTTAAGGTTAAAAATAAACTTAAAAATACTTTGCTAGTCAGTTTGCAACCTCTCAACTGGCTCTTTTATGGCGTCTATTGAACCAGCTGGGGTCTTATCAGCATTTTCAGCTTACGAGCATCCGTTCATTCAACCTCTCCGCCTTCCACCTATTCGTATGTTTACGTGGTTCGTTATTTGTGGAGTAAGGTGGCGGCGGCGGCGGCGGATGTCTTTTCCTTTACACATACACGCACACACACACCTACTGTAGCGCGCCATCATCACCGGTGAATGCTTTGCGATTTATGTGGCTGTAACTTGGACTTGGGGCTCAGTTCTTGTTTATAGTTTGCTGGCTTATTGGCCATCGCCGCTGCCACTGCTGTTGCTGTTGCAAGTTGAATGGCATTATTTCTAGCAGAAGCGGCTGCTGTTGTTGCTTAACATCCCGCAGAGTGCAATGCGCGTGCGCGACCAAAAGTTGTCGGATTGCATTCCATTGCGAATGACAGCCAGCGTCTTGATTTTATTGCTCTTCAGTTTGCTGTTCTTCTTGTTTCTGTTTCTGTTTCGGTTCAGGCTAATGCTGATGCTGATGCTGTGGCAGCGAGATTCTGTTGGAGCTGGGAACTTGCACACCTCTCGGTTGGTTGCCTACCATCTCAGCTCTTCATGTGTGTGTGTGTGTTGGAGAATGCCATAAATTGGCGCGAATTCTGTGGAGGGCATTCTCCCCACTTTGCAGTTATTTGAATTCGCCTACTCTCTGCAGCAACTCCAGCGCGGGCTTACTGGATGGTATGCATGTACATATGTATGTAGTTCCAATTCGCTAAGGCGGTAAAAAAATTAGCAAAATATTTACAAAATTTCTGGCTTGGACGACGGGCGTGCGAGCGTGAATTTTTCCACTGGCTACGTACGCAAACTTTTTGTTTGTTGCCTTTGGCACTTATTTTCGCATAAGTCAAAATCGCAGAGTGCAAATAACCTCGATAAAGGCGGCGCTCCTTTTTTATTTTTTTCTTTCTTTTTTCAACTGGCAATACGCAAGTAAATGGAAATATTGTAATACAAGCGACCGCGACCGACCGCGCGCCAGCAATTGTGTATTTTATTGGTATCGGTCAGCACAAAAAAAAACTGCAATCGAAAAAGACATTCGCTTGCCTTGCCTGCCACCCGACATCAGGTCCCTCGCCCCAGCATTTCCCTTTATAGGTTTCCCACTTTTGGCCTCTGGCGGACGGTCGTGCGCTGCAAATATTTGCTGATTTTGTTTTGTATGCGCAAGCGGTTGCATCATTGGCCTTTTACCGTTGTACAGCCAGTCGCGCGTTTTCCGTTTTTTTTTTATTAAAATTTGGCTTTTTGCGAGTTCTGCGTGCATTTCATACATATGCTTTTGTTTGTTTTGTTGGCGTGCGCATTTATTTTTTACCCACAACAAGACATTTTTGACACTGATATCTGATGTTTGTATGTATGTATGTATCTGGTGACATGCTGATATGTAGATTTTTTGCTGCTATTGCAAGCCACGCGCCAACTCTGCATTCTAGCACTAGGCCAATGGCCTATATTTTCGCCTACTACAATGCGCGCCAGAGTCGCCGTCGTCAAGTGGCGTGGCGTGGCGTGGCGTGGCGGTCGGCGCTGGTGACGTGCGCGCGCACTGATAGCTTGCAGTAGGAGCCATGCACCGAGGCTTTTCACGCGCTTTTCAGTTCACAATTTGGCATATCATCCCACCTGCGCTCGTCCGCGCTTCACATTTGCTTATCAACAACAGCTTGTTGTCATATACATATGTATGTATGTGTGTAAATTTTGTTTTCTTAAACCAACACAGAGCTTTGGCTAACATACTAGGAGTTCAAGGTTGCTCGGTATAATCTGGTTTGTCGTTCATTAACCGCATCGCAGGCTGCCTGCCTGACTGTTTGTTGACTGCTCGCTTCTGCAAGTTATCGTTGCTTGCACTTTGTGTGTACGTATGTATGTATGAGCGCTAGCGAACGCTACACACTCATAAAGCAGCTAGCTAGCCGGTTGGCCGGCCTGAAAAAGTCATGGCACCGCACCACACCGCACCGTCTCGGTACACATCCAACTTCTCCGTGTACACACAAAGAATATTAAAACCGCTCCTACATAATTTTGGTAACGGTGGCGGCGGTGAGCAGGGTTGGCAGTTCGATGGAATTAAACTAAACGGCAAAGCCGCCGCCTTTTTTGCAAAAAAAAAAAAACGAAATACACACGGAATAAAAAAAAATTTTACTTAAATTTGGGGAAATAAAAAATAAAATTCAAAACAAATACCTACTTATAAAAAAAAAACCACAACAACAAAAGCGACCATAAAAAATGAGTGCAAAACAGCAAAAGCAAAATGCCAAAAAAGCGAAGAGTGCGAACCCTGACTGGCGCGGCGAGCTCCAGCAGTTTTCGAAATTAACGAAGCGTTGCTTTTGCGCTCTCAATTTTCGGTGTGGTGTTCTTCCGGAGATCGAGCTGATAGTGGTTAGCAAAAACTTTGTCGTCCAGGGGAGTTGTACACAAAAGTAAGAAAAGGCTGCAAGCTGCCTACTGGGCAAGGGATTAAAACGCTGAAGCCGAACTCTGACTATGACTAGAGTCTAGGTATAAAAATATGTATTGAATATTGAGAAATTAATTATCTTTCAAATTGCCGCTTTTCCGCTCCAAAATATGTTATGAATGAATTTTTTTAACTCGTGCTTGCTCCCGAAACTATAAAAAGCTGACAAGAAATACATTTTATTAAAAAATTGCATAGATGCACCACGAATTCTCGTACACGCACCTCACGCACACACATACACATACACTCGCAGATGTCGTCATGCACTTTCCTGCCTGCTACATACATACATACATATGTACATATTGTTGTCCCCAACACAATTGAGTGACATTTCCGCTGAACGCATTCTTGGGCGATGACATGTTTCGCCACAACAACAAAGATGCGCGCCTAGCAAACAGCGAGCAAGCGATGTACAATGTGATAGCACCGAATTAACAACAGCAAAAAAAAAAAACAATCAACTTAAATAAATAACAATTTCGCAGAAAAATTAACAATTGAAATTTTTGTTGCGCATCTTTTCGAGTTATTTTGTGTACAGATTTGGTGGGTGGGAGGCATTCAAAATAGTGAATATTTATTTGAAATTCTTTATATTCTGAGCTGTTTTTTTTTTTGTTTTTTTTTGCAGTCGTATACCGTTAATCGTTTTTCAAAGTCAAATTAAATACTAAAAAAACTAAGAAAAAAAAAGCAAACAAATATGTAGAAGGGCTGCCAAGCTGACTTCTCCACCAGTTGGAAGTACTTCAGCTGCAGCGGCTTTGAAACATTTCTGGCTCATCCACCGGTGGGCGGGCGAGCAGCCAAATCAATCGTCGGGCGCGTCGTCGTCGTCGGTTGTTTACACAGCCTCAGATTCCCAGCAGAAACACAATTGGCAATCAGCGACGACGACACGGTCATCAACAACAACAACCACTCATGCGGCCTAGACACAACAAACAAACCGAAATAAACTAACATTCGGAATGCTTAAAAATAAACAGTATTTTTTTTATTTATCTGTCGCCTCGATGTCGTCGCTATTGACTGGGGCGAGTAGTATCTATACAATATTCAGATTTATTTTTTCAATTGATTTTTTTTTATTTTTTTATTATTTATTCTTATCTGCGCGAGCGAATCGGCGATCTGCTGTTGTTTATTGTGGTTGAGCAAAATGGCAAAAAATCAGTTAAACAATATATTTTTTTTTGTTCTTTATTTATTTATTTATTTTTTTTCTAATACAAATGCGCACACGGTGAGTGGTGTGATTTGGACAAGCAGACCCCCCCC